CTCAGTTTGTGGGAATGGCTATAAAGGGAAGAAAAATGTTCAAGATGTGGAGTTTGCCCAAGTGTTAGGGTAAAAGGCAAACTCTTTAGCTGAGTTATATTTAAAAAGAAAGGGGACTGTGGGAAAAACTCCTTTGAATTGGATGTGGAGAGCTAGTTAGAAATAACAGGAGGAAGCTAAGAATGGTTTGCGCCAAGCATCGCAGAGTAAAAAGGTTCCAGCTGAGAAATAAACACTGAAGGGAAGTGGAAGAAGGCCCATCATTTGAAATACTGTAACAGGAGTAGACAAAGCACTTGAAAGGGCACTGCAGGGAACAGTCTTTTTTTGGCAGGGAGCGAGACTTGGATGACCTCATAGCTTCTTTCCATCTCTATTAGAATCACAGAACCTAAAGTCTTCCTCAGAGCAGCAGCACAGCCAGCTTTGAAGGTTTGCCCAGTTTTGGCATCGTAACGTTGGTTAGCACCACTCTGCACGCTCCAGCCCCTGCAGATTCCCAAAGCAATATTTAATAGCTCTGCTGACAAAACTCTCTGATTAATGCCAAATACTAGCAAGCTGTGGAATATATTTTGGAGAGTTTTCATTACCGAATGGACCAGATTTAAAAAGGAGCATAAACAAAATTTGCAGTTTCACGTAAGATAGTTGGGCAGAAAGACATTGTTACTGTATTTTGGTATCCCCTTTGCTGCACAGTGATTACAGTGCCCAGTTAGTTATAGCTTGCCAGTTTTCATTCTGAAGTCAGATTTCAGTCCTACTTCTCTATAGTAAGTGTTGGATTTAAAGGAGATGATACCCGTCCAATGTATTAAATTGTAATAAGAAGAGAAATATAGCACGTACTGGTGTTGTAGCTGCATTCCCTATTAAATCCCAGTAGCCAGACTTTGAAACATAGGCAGCTTTCTCAACTGTACAGCTCCAGTTAGAGATTTTTTTAAAGAAAAAAGACTAATTCTTAGGAACCAGTGAAAAAAAAATCTGAAAATTATACTCTCTTATACTATACTATGTAAATACTACAGATTTTGGCATATCATCATTGCTTATAGCTTTGTAACAGTGCAACAATTCTTAAACATCTTCTGCCTCTCCCCTCCAGTGAGACATTTTGGTGGGGGAGAAACTCTGTGTCTGCCCTACATGGGGTCACTCATTTATGTTTTCCCTCTCAGCTTGGCTGCAAACCACCAGAAAGTGCAAAAGTAGCTATCATGCCCAAGGGCAACATTTTTCTCCCATCCACTTGATTTTCAGGCTCTTTGCCCAGGCTAGTTCTGCTGCCATGTTCTCCTCTGCCCTTCCCAGCAAGACTGGAAGGCAGCAGAAAGCAGCAGGGAAGGCTCTGTACTCACCTTGTAAGAGATTGTTTTCACTCCCAACAAAGAAAGGCTGGAGCACTGCAAAGAAACAGGACTTGCCCTTTCTAGACCTCTGCTGTCTGGGAGCACCTTATGATTATTGGTGAATTTGGAGAAGGTTTAACATGTTGTCCTAAGAAGGCTGTAAGGAGCCGTGGGTTTCTTTGCCAGCATCACCTGGGTAATTCAGAAGCATTGTTTTTCAAGGGTCTGATGGGCCCTGTGCTCTGCCTTTTTACTTTGCCTGCCAGACCAGCCTTGATAGTGATGCTGCTCTCTCAAGAGGGAAGCTAAGAAGTTTTCAACCGTGTCTGCTGTCTGTGTTTGTCAGTGGAAAAATGGAAATCTCTTGGGGAAGAGTGGGAACAATTGAATTATTTTATGCTGAGGCACAGTAAAACTCATTTTAAAAATTATTGCCTAATGTCCATAATTTATTCACAGTACTAGTCCCAGTAGAGTTAATAAGACTATTACGCAATTAAAATTAAGTATGCACATAGGAGTCGGTAACGTCAGAATCTAATGTTTTACTTCTATTTTTTGAAATCTCTTTGTGGCAAAATATCTTTTATTATTTCAGAGTTGTTGGAGGTTTAACAGCATGTTCCCAAATGGATTGTGAGCTTAGCAGAAACTTTTTTAAAAGGAGTCCAAGTTTTTGAGTGCTTACAGGGCCCTCACAGAAAACCTCCAGGAAATGCTGTTTCCATGTTTAGGGCGCTGCTGTGATAACTCTGTAGCGATGTGAGGCGGAAAGCACAGAGTGAGAGAAGTTTAATGGAATTGCAAACTGAGAAATTGCGCCTTCTGGATCATCATGTGCTAAAAAATCAGATGAGGTTAAAGGAAATACCTGGAGAAGGGAGCTAGAAGAATACGCTAGTGATAATAAGAACAAGGTGGGAAGCAGAGATGCTGAAAACAAAGAGGAAAGAGGAATTTATGAATGTTGATTCATTTCCAGTAGTCACTTCATTGACTATTGAATGTATAGCTTTATTATATGTGATTTCTGCTAGGCCTGGTGTTCAGCAACACTTCACTGAGGCATGTCTTAATAACATGAAGGGAGCAAAGGCCAGCAGTATCTCTGGGCAGCTGGACAGCTCTGACATACACTTTTCCTGCCCCAGAGGTTTTTTGCTACTGTTACCCAAATCAAATTCTTTTTAAACTAATCTTAAATTCAAATAAAGTACTTCCTGACCTTTGTTACACCATTGCTCTTAGCAGTGCTTATGGTTGAGGTTTTTTAAATTGTCTCTTTTTAAAGATTTTCTCTTTTTCAGAAATGTTGGTAAATAATAAAATAAGATAACTCTGTCTGTTAAAGGAGATAGCAAGTGGTTGAGATGATGACTAGTTCTTCTAAGAACAGCTCCCTGTCTGCACATACATATCTAAAGATTGGAGATGTCAGCTGTTTGGAAGAACTCAATTAAAGGCATTTTCTAGTTCTACACTAATAGGGATTTTACAGAACCAATATATAAAAAGGCAGAAATATAGGCATTATTAACAACTGTATTTTGCAATATTTGATTTTGTATTTCCATATGTACAGAGTTATTTTTAAAGCTTTTGCTGTATATTCCTGAATATCTATGATTTGGCTTGCCATTTGAACGGCAACGCAAGTGTGGCTTATGTAGACATACCCTTTACAGAGTAGCATTAATTTAGCCTTGCATGTACACCTTATAGTGAAGCTCCTGTGTCCTGGGTTTCTGCTGCCCCATATCTGTGTCCCTGGTTGAACAGATGGATGTTGTAGTTTCACTGCTTTTGCTGTGAGTGCGGTGGTGGCCCTACTGCTCTTCAGCTGCTGGGAGGCTCAGCAGAAAACGTTGTAGAAAACATGGCTACATGTGCACACACCTGTAAGAGAACAGAGGTTTAAGAGAGCAATACAGTGTAAAACAACGACAGTGTAACATTAAAGGTAAATCACAGAAGTGGCAATTAGTGCTTCAGGCTCTGGGAGTTTTGTGGCAGTTGAACGAAGGTTGGAAGGTGGTTCCTGTTACGCACCTTGCAGGAGAGCAGGTCAGGCTGCAGCTGCCTAACCATGTCTGCTCCAGGCAGTGCCTCTTGTAGGGCACTTTACATCCTTTTCCTCTCAAAATGACTTGGAAAAGCAGTCTGAAATTGCTGGGTGTTTGGGTGGTATCTCTTTCTGTTAGTGCAAGCAACTGATGCGCAGTTCATCAAGGTTGAGAGACTTCCCAGAACTGCAGATAAAACACTATTCACTATTCCTGCCTTGACCTTGACAGTCTCAGCTTTTATAGAAGACTTTAGGAGCAAAGAAATAGTAAAAAAAAAAAAAAAAAAAAAAAGATTTTTTCCCCATCCCTTTATGTTTACGGGCTGAACTTGCCAAAGCTTTGTTCTTCTCCAAAGGGACCTCTAGCTGAGGTCTCTCTGTGCCTCATCCCTCCTTTCCTAAACTGAGCACTGCAGTACCCTGTCTGTAAAAAGACCTCAAAACAGTCTGAAAAAGATCTACCATGACTGCTCCTAACAGACTGCACTTTGATGATCAGTTTAACCAGATCCAGTTTTCCACCCATCTACTCCTAGCAATGTCTTCCTCTCATCTGATGTTTCATCTTTACCTTTTACAGGGTTGGTTTTTAGGCCTCTTGTGTTGTTTTTTTTCTTTCTAATCACAGAGCTGAGGGGAGGAAAGAGATAAGAACAGCTCTTTTGGCAGAAGTCCAGATTTAGCTTGGTGAAGTGGATTATGAAAAATGTTCAGGAGTGGGAAGTTTAAGGTTTTTATGGGCTGTTAGAACTTTTAAGGTATCTCACTTACGATACAGAAGTGCCTAGTTGTTACCAAATTTTCTTCACCATCATCAGCTATTTTAGGACTTTAAAGTCTCTTTCATTCTAACGTGCTGAGTACTTTTCTAAGATTAAATGAGGAATTTCCTTCCAGACCATCATACCACTGAAGGAGAGCTGCCATTTCTGTTCCTTTAGTGGGAAAATTATCTAAGAAAGGAAGAGAGAGGACCAGAAAGCCACACTCAGAGAAAGAGTCTGACCTCATCAGTAATAACATTTTTCATTAAATGATTTTTTTTTAATATTAAAATGTTTATCAACCACTGTCCATTGAAAATAAATAATTAAAAGATTGCAAATGCCGATGTGAAGCTGAGGCCAGGTTATGAGTTATTTTGATATGACTTTGATTTTACTGTTAGCTACTCGTGGAATGTGGTTGCTCACTCAGCTCACATGCTTTTGTGTCTGTGCCCTGGCATTTATGATGTTCCTGTGGGAAATCAATATTTTAGGTCCCTCTTCTTGTGAGTAAATTTGTGCATGGAATTCCATTTACAAAAGTCTATCAAAAACAAATAAAATGCACCAACTACATTTGAAGAGTTTACTATTTAAGAAAATGTTCACATCTTTTTTTCATTATTTTCCCAGCCATAAATCTTGGATTAAATATTAGGCCAAATTATATTTTACAGGATATAAGCTTCATCTGTTCCAAAAATAACATTAATCTCTGCAACCATTAACCGTTTCTTTTAGAAATAAATGTTAATGAAAAGTAAATAAACACAACCATGTATTATGCATACTATTTTTACATGTATTTTACAGAGTTCGTTTAGTCGAAAGAGGATCTCCACATAGTTTGCCCCTCATGGAGTCAGGAAAAGTAAGTACTGAAAGAAGATTTAAATGTACCTTTATGGTAGATATTTTCAGTAAATTTCCATTTCTGTTCATTTTTATATGTTTGTAGTGTTGAGGAAGTCTTTGTCAACTGTGCAGACTGAAGACCTTTTTTTACTGTTGAGGTTACAGCATGATGGCGGCAACTGATGCATTACTGCTGTCTCAGAAGCTGTACCTCCCTCTTTCATGCAAAAAGCATTTCCTTCTTTTATGCAAAAGGAAGATATTTCATCCTCTACATCTCACTCTTGAAACAACCAACAAATGTGTCACTAGTGAAGGCAGTTTTATCGCTGTAGACCCACCTCCACTGAGAATGCTCTGAGATAACCAACGCTGTACTCATAGGCTTCTGATCACCTGCAGAGGGACGATCCCTGCTGGGTAGGATCGCTGTGGGGACAGGGCGAGGACATAGGACTGGCACACAGATATGGAGGTGCTGCTCTCAGTTCTGTCCCTGGCTGCGGTGTCTCGCCATGGACTGGTGACAAAGTTCTACTGCTAAGCGTGCTCTGCCTTTGAGACAAAGGAGAGGTGCCACCTGCACTGAGCCACCAAGGCATTCCCTGCTCACTGACTGCCCTTGATGCTGTGGATGCTCATCTAAAGCTTTCTAACACTCATGGTCAGAGGATGCTCCCTTTTCTATTTTAGCATTTAACATCTGCCCACCTCTGTAGCGGTTGAATGTACATTACATGAGGTCATTGGCAGGACCTCATTCTGGGGAGATTGCATGGTGTCTCTGGCTTGCTTTCTCTTTCAGGCCAAAGTTTCATGTGGCTAGTGGGGTTTTTTTCTATTCTAGTATGCTCTCTCAGAGAGATTTGGACAATTTGGTAGGATTTTTTTTTTTGTATTTTAGGTGAACATTTGTTTTCTGAGGAGTTTTTAATGATGGAACAGCATTCACAAAGAGAAGAGGTTTTGTAGCATTTCCCAGATATCTCAGAATTATTACATCTATGGACTATTTTAATTTTTAATGTTATAAGTCTGCTTTAACTTTTTAAGGATTTCTTCTGATTTCTAATAAAGGTTTTTTGGGGACAAAGAGTCATCGTATGATTGCATAAACCAGTATCTGCTTTCTTACTGCCTCATGTTTTCTTTCAATAGATCCTCCCAGGAGTACGTATCATTATTGCTAATCCAGAAACAAAGGGACCCTTAGGAGATTCTCATCTTGGTGAGGTGAGTCATGAAAACTTAACCTTTGTATGCTCTGAACTAAATGGTAGAGAGAAAGCTATCATCCTGTATGCAAATGGTTTCCTATAATACGTCTTATCAAATGCCCAGTTAAGAAAATTGTGAATTCTACAGATCTTTATGGTATATAGAGTGTGTAGCATGGTATTTGTATCATTATTAAAATTGTTAGTAATGTACTGGATAAATACTAATAATAGCTCAAGTTTGTTAAAAATTGAAAAAAATCTGCTTTTTCTAACTGTGTTTTCTACTTGGTGCTTCACTAATTCTGATGGAAACTTACATGAAAAAATAAGTTTATTGATTAGTCTAATTTCAGCTAGATGGTTTTCTAGTGCTATTCTCTTTATAATCATTGTGCTTCAACGCACTGAAGTACTCTCATTAGCTGAGTTGAGCAAGGCTATATGTTTTTCCAATTTATTTTATGTTTCTAGAGAGAGAAAAAAAATCTTCTTTTCAATGAGCAATTAAAGTTCTAATTAACAAAATGAAGAATTTGCTTAGTCATAATTAAAACTACAATCTAATTTGTGAGATTCATCTGTAAGATTTCATTACTATGAAATCATAAAAATTTCTGTGATGCCTTGAGTTAGATGAAATGAATCCTTCTCCATAGGTGAAGGTCCCTGGCCTCACCCTGTAAAATAATCTGTCTGTCTGGTGTTCATGGAGGATGCTCTGCTGCAGTAAATACCCTGAACCAGGAGGAGGAGACTATGGAAAGAGCACTGTGGTCTATAGGCTCTTCTGAAAATTGCCATAACCAAGCAGACCTCAGAGCTAGCTGAGCCATTTAAGGAGGCTGTGCAGATCTTTGGCTATCCAAGGGCCAGAAGGCTGC